GAAGGTGAAATAAACTTCACGGCCTCAATGTGAAACAAATGTAGTAATCAATTAACCCTTAAAATATATTTAAATAAAATTTTTAATATATTAATATTTAAATTCTAACATAAATTCCCCTTAAGCCTTAATAAACTCAGAATTTTAGATAACTTTAACTAATCACCCATCTTAGGATCTACCTCTGCCACATGACCTTTTTACACACACTTTAGATGGTTTTCTAGGACAACCAACTCTAGATCTAGGTTAGGTCGATGTTTACTTTACTGCTGTATGCTGGATTTTTCATGATTTTTACTGCATGTTATGGATGAAATTGCTTTGCTGTGTTTGTTTACTTTTTCTGCACTATGTGGATGGATTGATGTGTCTGGCGACTAGATTACCCCTAGGATAGGAACGATCTGGTTGTTCACATAGTTTTCTACAGGTTGCCACGCTCATGCAGGGCAATAAAAAGGGGGCTAAATCAATAAAAAATATATCAATTATTATAAATGCTTGCACAGGTGCTTCAACTGCTAAAGCCCCCAAATAAAAAAAAGAGCATGGCCAGTGTGTTTATTTATTTTTCCTGTACAATATATAACTGCTTGGGAATACTATTGATTTATTAACTGCTTAGGATAACCCTGCAAGAGAGTCTAGAATTTTATTTTATATTAAATGTAATTTGTTCAAATGTTAAGTGTTGTGAAAGTAGGATTTTGAGTTAGGATACATAGGTCCAAAGCTTGGACTCCAAAGAGAAAAGGACACCCCTTAGGGGAGCAGCCCTTTTCTATTTGAAAATCCAAATTTGGATCATACTTCTTCCCTACCCAAAGAGGAAAGAGTGGCCTTCCCCTTAAAGGAAGTGCCCTCTTATCCAATTGGGTAGCCTACTACAAAGAATCCAAGGAGCTTGAAGAAAAGGAGTCTAAAGGAGAACAAGACTGAAAACTTGAAGATTGAGAGTATCCCACTCAAAACTACTTGCGTCATTACTAGGTTTAAAATCCGGGTTGTTTTCAGTGGTCCTCGTCCACTTTACTTTCTGTGAAATTCTGGTTTGTAATAAGCAAGGCAACTTTGCCTATGGACTTTTATTGATTAATTAATTTATGTTTGATGTGTTGAAATGATTGCCTCTAGGACTGCCTATTTTTCTTAGTTTTTTGGTGTTTGTGTGCCGCTTTTATTTTCGCTTGGATACGTGAGGCTCGTAAGGGTGTGAAAGTTTTATATTCAAAACTCTAAAGTCTAAAATTTTAGTGAGTCTAAATAACATAGAAAGATAATGAATCTAGGGAATTGGCCGGGGGTCGACCCAGGGTCGCATGCATATTTTTGCATTACTCTTTCCTTGTTTTAGACCCTTCCTCGATTGCGGGTAGAGCTCGAATAGTCTGACCTATGAGGACGAGGTGCTGGACCTGGGGAAGCCCAGTTTTCTAAAAAATTTATTTTCTAAGCCTATTTTTAAAATTTCAAGCATATCTGATTTACAGTTGTCAACCAGTACGCATTGCATTAGAAACATACTTAAAGAGTCAAAATTTTAATTGCATTAGTCCTTAACATTTTAGCACCCAACATAAGTCAAAGAGGCCAATTCGGAAAATCTTTAGATATCGGCCCCAACTCTCCAAAACCTTAAATACAACATCCCTACCACTCTTTCATAAAAGACTGGACTCATCTCTTTTAAATCGATTAGGTGTTTAGCTGGCTCTCCAATCCAGGCCGGGGTAAGTCCAGACCTTGCACTGCATTAGTTAGGATCGGACGACTATGGTTCAGTGTTCAAATTAGATTTAGGATCCGGGGCAAATTTTTTTTATATATATCATAAGACCCCAACCTCCAGGAATATAATCCCAAGTTTCTAATAAAATGCTCAAATAAGATCACATCGGCTGGGACAATTGTGAGATAGGCCAAGACGATATGTTGGACGATTGGCATTGGCTGGCATGGATTCAGAGCAATGTTCAGGATGATTTAACCCTATTTCTGACATAATCATCCAGGACGATCATGAGATCGGCCAGGACAATTTGTTGGACGATTGGCATCGGCCGGCATGGATTCAGGGCGATGTTCTGGACGATTTAACTCTATTTTTGAGATAATCGTCCGGGACAGTCGTGAAATTGGCCCGGACGATCAAATTAATTTTGGATCATCCAAGTCTCTAAAATTCTCTCCCAACCTTAAAATGTAAAGCCCAATACTTAGACTAAGTTGGGACACTTCTGGATGGTTTTGGAATCTCAAAGTGTCCCCTACCTCTCCTCCTTTAACTCTGTTAATAACTATTAAATCTTGAGCCATTCCCTTTTGAATTTCCAAGATTCATTCATTTTTGATATCACTCCTAGAAGATCTAACAAAATTCCGTCACTATTTTAATCGAGAGTTTTCATAGGGAATTTTGTCTCCCTACAATGTAATTAACTACGAGGGCTTGCGCTTGTAGGAGATTTGGAACCACACACGCACCTGATTTTAAAATTAATTTTTCTAAAATCTCATTATATTTTCTTGGGAAAAGTCATAAAAATGATCGTCGTTATTACATTAGAAGGATTATCACTGAATGGTGTTATCTCCCTTCGGGGAGATACATCCTTCTACAATAAGGCTTTGGATGTGAATTCCACGATCGTGCTCCTTGAATATTATAATTGGATTTAGCTGGACTTCATTCTATCCCTTCAGGGCCATACGAAGTTCTCTTTAGAATTCGGTCACAATATTCAAGATGAGTTTCATAATTCTAAGTCTGAACACCACTACGAAAGTTTATTTTCATCCTTCGGGGTGATATACTTTTTAACAGGTCGATTTGACTTTAGACTTAGAATTAAACATTAACTTCAAAACCCCCAAAAAAAACTCATATTTTTCAAAACCCGCTTTCAAAAAATTCCACCATACCAGGATGATATAAATCATACAGTTTGATTAGTTCAAACAATTCATCTTCTTCCAAGCTCACTAACTCACCTCCTTATGTGTGTGTATGTAAGGTTACTCAGCTTTAGGATCCACCAAAATATATGATTGACTCAAGAAAGATAAAAAGAATAGAAAAACTAAATATATAAACTTTAATCCTAGTCTACCTAATCTTGAGCTGATCAAAGTTGTAAGTGAGCAGTAGACCTAAAATGTTAGTGAGATGGGAAAAGCAAATATGTAATAAAATAAATTATCAAGTGATAACATTGTAAAAAATCCAATAATATTTGTTATCATCAGAATCACAAGAGTTGAGTCTAGATTTGCAGTAATCTCCCACTTTTTGATGATGGTAAACATTGTTGGTTTATGTTTTAAAAGTGTTTTGCTATTCCCTAAGCTCCCCCTTACTAAATAAATTCTTTCAAAAATAGGGGAGGTGTTGTATTTTTTATTTTTAAGTGAAAAATAACACATAATAATAGAACACAAAATATTAAGAGGCAAACATGGAATTAAATATTTTAAAACAAATTATAATTTACCGACAACATGCTACTATCCCTTTTGACATCATAAAAAGGACGAAATAATAACAAAAAATAAGAAACTGAAAATAATAAAAAGTATAGGAGTAAACAACAATCACAAAATAGAGAAAACTAAAATAAGGATGGGGGGTGGTCAGGTGGAGGTGGTGGTTAGAAGTACTTGTGGAGTGAGGTAAACTGATTTTTCATTCAAGCCATGTCCTGATCATGCTGCTGCCGTTACTGGACTATGTAGTGATTAAAGCTGCAACATTATAAAATGCTAATTTTTTCTAGACTTTAGCATAGTCGTTCCTGATTTAAATGATGTAGTGCTTGAGAAGTAAATACTACGGTGTTATAAGATCCAGTGCTATATCACCGCTTAAATTTTGAAACTTATGTGGCTTTTTAGAATAATTAATATATGATTATTTTAGTCATAATCATAGTTAGAAATACATATTTAATAAATATTTAATATTTTTCATAATTATTATTTGAATAATAATAATATCAAAGTCACACAAATAAACAAAAACTTCATCAACAAAAACTAAGAGATAACATCAATATGTTTGGGTTGCCTCCCAAGTAGCACTAAATATGTAGTATTCAACCAGCTTGCTTAAATTTTTCATTTTGGCTAGGTTGCATTAATTCCCCACCTCATGTGGTCCATGCTATGATCCTTCCCTTTCCTCTTTGGAATAATTTTTATTTTACTAGGCAATACTCCATGAGTTCTACTATTAAAAGAGATGGCAAGCTATCCCAATTGATTTTCTAAGTTTTCAATTAAAATAGCTTGACTTTGCATTTGAGTTCTCAATTAAATCACTTTCTCTTCCAAAAGTGTCTTGTTATATCTAAATTGATTGTTCTAATTAAAACATAGTGGATAAGAAGGTCTAGGGTTTATCACAGGTTATAGAGGATTATTCTAATTTACTATTTGATTTAATTGATTGGAATTCCTTCTTTTTTCAACCATTATTATTATTGAACCTAAAATTAGGGTGGTTACTCCAACATAGATTGTAGGTATTAAAGTAAGGATTATTTTAACTTCTAGTTAAATTTATGTTTTTATTCCTTTGAGCATTATTCTCTCCAATAGATTGTAGGTATTAAAGTAAAGATTATTTTAACTTCTAGTTAAATTTATGTTTTTAATCCTTTGAGCATTATTCGCTCCAATAGACTTCAAATCTTACTCTTCCAAAAGAATATGTGATCCATATCCCGAACTAACTTCAAAACTATCCAACCTTTTAGGTATAATAGCTACCAAAGCAATCAAAATTAATAAGGCATTTGACTCATAAACTCTAGCTACTCTCTTACAATTTATCCTATCAAAAGGCTACTAAAAATTATTTATTATCATTTTATCAATTATTACATAGGCTTTATAAAATATCCTATACATTAAGGATCCTCAAGCTTCTATATCAATTATTAGTCTAAGGGATCCTACAAGCCCATTATAGAAAAGTGGAATAACTAACTAATCAGGTAAAGCATGGTGAGGATATTTTTTTAGCATTGCCTTAAATCTCTCTCAACTTTCATAAATTTTCTCTCCTTTAAATTTGAAAAATGATGTGATGTCATCTCTAAGCTTAGTAGTTTTGGAAGGTAAAATATAATTAGTTGTGCCAACTCATTACAAGTGGTTACAAAGCCTAGGGGCAATGAATTCAATAATATCTTAGCTTTGTCCCTTAGCAAAAAAAGAAGTAATCAAAGCCTAATGACATCATCACTAACACCATTATATTTGAATGTTGCATAAATTTCTAAGAAACTAGTTAAGTGTAGGTTGGGATCCTCAACAAGAGTTTCACAAAACTAGAAATTTTGAACCATATAAATAATGGAAGGTTTTTAGCTCTTGTTAGTTTATTAATACTCTGGTGAATTCTATTAACTATAGTTTTAGTATACTCCCTAAGAGGTCTAGGATGATCCTGAACTTGAACTAGTTTAGCCATACCTAATGCTAAATCTTTTTAGATTTTTCTAATTTTTATAAGGGCCCTTTCAATCTCTAAGTCAAATGGTAAGGGGTCCTTTCTAGACTACTACACATGTAATAATAAAGAAGATATTAAATAATAGAAAATAAATAACAAAACATGTAATTTTTTTATTTAAAAAAAATTAAACCAAATAATAAAGTGGATATAAGTTATTGAATACAAGTAGAACAAAATATGAAACTACTTCAAAAGTTTTGATAAAATTGTAAATTTATATATTACTCCCTTGGTAATGGTGCCAAAAACTTAATGGGTCATGAGAGTGTGAATTATGTTTATGTTGTGGGTTGAATTATGCTTAGATTTTTTTTTTGATAAGTATACACACTAAATATTCAAGTCTACATATCAAACAAGTAATAATGAAATTGAGAGAGTGTCGATACCATGATAAAGTATTGTACTAATATATAAATAAACTAAAACTGTCTATTGTAGCTATAATATTTTATCCTAATAATGGGGACTATGGGGTAACGTATAGAATTATGAAATAGTTTTTGGGTTATATTAATCCCTAACAATGCTTAAGTTTTCTTTGATATAAAAAGTATAAAAAACCCACTTAATCACCTAGTTTTTAGAAGAGATTTTCAAATTCCATACATAGCAGCTTGTTGGCGGGTTTCACGCTGACGATGGAGGGTCGTCCCCCGACCATCTCTGATGACCGGAATGATCCTTAGTGGAAAGGAAGAGCAACAATGGCATATGGTAAAGCAAATTCTGTGATTACTTCAAGAATCTGTAACACGGCTCTGGTTACCAGGAGCCAATTTTGGAGAAGGCTCAAGTTATGTCTCCTGCGAGGGGGAAAGGTAAACAAGTGATGGTAGAAGATGAAATGAGTTCTCCTTAAATAGTTCATAAAGTTGGTTCTTCTTCTTCGGAAAGAAAATTGATTGTCAATAGATTTGCCAGTTTGAAACCATTATCTGGAACAGGGGAAGCTGAATTTTCTGAAAAAATTCAAGGTTGTAAGCCAAATATTTGTGAAAAGGCTAGAGAAGGAGGAAATCAATCAACATTGATAATGGAAGGTAAAGCCAATGCATCAGAGCAGGAACCAGTTAATCCATGGATAAAAAGTCTGTATATTAAAGTCAAACTCTTGACCTGTGAATCATTTTTGATGGAAGATGGATCAGCAATCAAGATATTTGAGCCAAATGTAAAAGCTAACCTTGAGAAGCTGCAATGTTCCATTATCGTGAAGGTGTTTGGGAGTCTCATCCCGATACAAATGATAGCAGCTAAGCTGAGACGTTAGTGGATTAAGTTTGGAAAAATTCATATCACCAGTCTTGGCTCTGGTTGGGTATTATGCTCTTTCTTATCTAAGGAAGCCATGGAGAATGTTTTAGCAGGAGGTCCATGGCTTGTCAATGGGCATATAATTGGACTAGATAAGTGGAATTCGGATTTTTATCCCAACTCACTCAAGGGTTTATCTTCTCCAATCTGGATCAGGATGCCAAATTTGCCTCTTTACTACTAGGATGAAATCAATGTTTCTAGAATAGCTTCTTCTATTGGAGAACACATTTTGATTGATGGAGATATGTTTCAATGGGGGAGGAGAGAATTTACAAGGATATGCATCAGCATTCAGCTTGACAATCAATTGCCTACTGGTGTTTGGGTGGAAGGGATAAATGGAAATTTTTATCAATGAGTTGAATGTGAGAAAACTTCTAATTTCTGATACAAATGTGGTCAGATTGGCTACTTAAAAGAATCTTGCAATAATATTGAGAAGAATGAAGGGTCAGTAGCAAACGCTAATCAAGCTGAAGAATCTGTTACAGTTAAAGGTATTAGTACCAAGGAAGACCCAACTATGAGTTCCTGTACATTAGTCAATAATAGGAGGAATAGAAAAAGGAACTTGGGAATGGCTAAATTGAAATATATTCCTAAGGAAGGAGGTTCTCTAAAATTTGCTTATGGGGAGAAAGCTATTAAGATGGTGCATAAAGAAAGCAAGGTGATGAACTTGGAAGACAAAGATGGAGTCTCGGGTTCTCAGGAAGTGAATATTTTGGAGAAAGTCAATCCAAGTATGCTAAAGGGTGATAGTAATCATGTCTTAGTTCGGAGTACTATGGATGTGGTTGTGAGTTCTATTGAACTGCGGTGGAAGACAGTAATCCGCTAGAAGTATGACGGAGTTCAAAGATCCTAAGGGCAATCTGGAGTTTGATGCAGCTTAGGAAGTCTTGTTTACTTATGGTAATAAATTTGAATTACTTAACTCTATATGTGAGGAAAATGTTGGCCTGGAAATTCAGAATGATTCCAAAGAAGAAGCTGTGGAAGAAGGAGAACTGGTGGAGGATCTGGAAAATTCTCAACCTAATAGTAAAATTGAAGAAACAATTTGTAGCAAGGAAAATGATATGGTAATTCATGGTGAGGAGAATATTAATCTGAACTTTGATAAGGCTTCTAATCAAAAAAATCAAACTAGCAAAGGAGATCAGATATCTTGGCCCATTGAATGTTAATTCTAGGAAAAGAAAAATTAATATGAACAAGAGAAGGGGTGGGGGCTTTTCCCTATTCTTATCAAAATGAGTTCTATTAGTTTTTGGAATTGTAGGGGGGCTAATAGGAAGGAGGCCTCCTTGTATTTGAAGGAGTATATTAAAGATTGGGATGTATTTTTTATGGGGATTGTTGAAACCAAAATTTCTTCTCTTTCTAAGGAAGAATTTAGTAAGTTTATGGGGGGAGCTTGGGAGTACTTGCTTCTACCATCTAGAGGGAAATCTGGAGGGATTCTTGTAATCTGGAATTCGGATGTGTCTTCATTCTCCTTGGTGAAAGCCTCGGACTAGTGTGTAGTTGGTGAGTTAAAAGTATTCAATAAAGGTATATGGATGGTAGCAATCATTTATGGCAGTAGGGAGATGCAAGGAAGAAGAGAATTATGGGATTTCCTAGATGGGCTTTTGAAGTTAGAAGTTTCCGTAGTGGTAGGAGGAGACTTCAACTATATTCTATCTCAAAATGAAAAAAAAAGGTGGGAAGAAATTTTCTTTCTCACTTGGCTCATTGGAGATGAAGGCATTTATGAATAGAAATGATCTACATGATGTGGGTATTCTTGGTTCAAAGTATACTTAGTGTAACAATAAGAGTGCCAGTGGCCGTATCTTGGAGAGGCTGGATAGATGTATGCTGAACTAAAAATCCTTGGAACTGATTAGTCAAGCAATAGTGAGGCATTTGAGTAGAATTGCATCAGACCATTGTCCCATTGTATTGAATATATTTTTCAACAAAATCATAGAACCAGAATTCAAAAATTTGAAGATGTCTGGTTTTCTTATTCTGCTACAGCCACGGTGGTAAAAAATTCATGGGCAAAACCAGTTAAAGGTGATGACATGGTAGCTTTGAACAAGAAACTAACAAGGGTTCTTAAAGCCTTATTTTTTGGGAGCAAGGCAAAGCACCAAGAACTGGAGGAATTGAAGGAAAATATGATGATTAAAATTGAAAATCTGCAGCATGAAGAGGCTCTGGATTAGAATTTTTCAGATAGAAATGTTTTGTTACTCAGGTCCAAAGTTCAGGAATTCAATTGTACTTTAGCACGATTAAATACATGGTGGAGACAAAGGGCTAAGGCCAAATGGTTGAAGGAAGGGGATTCAAACTCAAGTTTTTTTCATGCCTTTGCAAATGGTAGAAGAAATGGAAATTTTTTCAAGCAATTAAAGGATGTTTATGGGAAGCTGATAGAAGATCATGAAACTATCAGGAGCTATTTTTATGATTTTTTTGTAGTAAATGGAAGCTCAAGAGCTGTCAGTTGGAAAATTGGCCTAAAAATGAGAATATCCTGAATCGAGAAAGCTGTGAAATGCTTGATGCTGTCTTTTCCATTGATGAAGTTGAAAAGTTTTTAGAGAATTGGGCAACAACATATCACCGGGGGTGGATGGTATAACCTACTCATTTATCAAATCTTATTGGAAGATCATTGGAATGGATGTGTGGAAAGCTATTCGATAGTGCTTTAGTTAAGGTAAAATGTCTTCTAAATGGAAAGAGACTTTAGTGGTGTTTATCCCCAAAGTAAGTAACCCTTTAACTCCTTCCAATTTTTGCCAAATAAGTTTATGCATGTCAATTTACAAAATTGTGGCAAAAGTACTATTAAATAGAATGATGAAAGTGATACATAGTTTAGTATCTGAAGAACAAATGGCATTCATAAAAGGAAGAGATTTATCGGAGCATGTGCTTCTTGCACAATAATATTTTCATAAGTTCAGGTTTTCTAAATCTAAAAGAGGATTGGTGGCTATAAACATCGATATGGAACATGCTTCTGATAGTATGGTCTGGAATACCCTGAGGCAAGTTTTGAGATATTTTGGTTTTACTGATAGGTTTTCCAACCTTGTTATGGAGTGTGTTACTGACCCTATTTTCTTGGTGCAAATTAATGGTGTTGGTTTGGAAGGGATAAGAGGAAGAAGTGGCTTTAGACAGGGTTGTCCATTGTCACCTTACTTATTCATCCTTTGCTCCCAACTTCTTACTAATGCCTTCTTATCTAAAGGAAAGA